GGGCGGCTTTGCTCCCGGGCAAACGAGCAAAGCTGCCCAGGCGGCGGCTTTGCTCGGGTGTCCCTGGTCTGCTGGGGGGGGCCAGCGGCTTTGCTGGACCCCCCCAGCAGACCAGGGAGACCGGGAGAAGCTTTTCTCGCCCCGGAGGACACGGGTGGCGACCCGCTGCCCGTGAGCTCCGGGGCGAGAAAAGCCCCGTTCATAAGTGCGGATCCGACATAAGTCGGATCCGCGTAAGTCAGGGACTGCCTGTATATATTTTTGTCTTTTTTGCCTTTCCCCTCCACACACATTATGGGTTTGCTGGCTTCCCCTCCCCCACACACACACACACTCTGGGAATGCTGCCCTCCAGCCATGTCTGGGGCTCTTACCCTCCTGGTTGTGGGGTTGATACCCCCCCCAGGCTCTAGGGCTGCTGCCCTCCCCCCAACTCTGGGGCTGTTCCTTTGGTGCTGGCGTGCTGCCAGGGGGCGGGGAGCTGGGCGGGGGGGGGGCCTGCTGTGTCTGCCACAGTGGGAGCCAGGCAGCAGAGCACTCCTGCAGGAGTTGGCAGGGGCTGCTGGCGCAGGCGCAGGAGGGGCAAGTTGAAAATCCCATGACAAACAGACAAGAACGGTGACGGATTAATAGAAAGATTGTCTAAAAATCAAGATGCCTTTCTATCACTTTTGTGCAGTTCATCAAGCTTTGAATAGATCCTTTAATGTTTGGAAACATCCTATTAGGGCAAGGCCCGATGAGTTTATATTGTGCAGGTTTGGGGCACTAGTGGTGCTAGCCCATGACAAATAACAAATTACAAAATGACTTTAAGCAGTAGTGAAACGGACACTTTCAATTCACTTTCATAGTATTGCCACCCTCAAATGTTCAAAAATCAAGACGCTGGCACAACAAAAAGGATGAGATTGGCTTTAAAATAATGGGATTAGGTAAAACTAGAAGCTTTACTTGGCATTGCTCAGGTCCTTGACTCAATTCATTTTTGTTTTCCTTCATTTAAATCATTGCTCTGGAGCGGGGCTGGGGTTGAGGGGTTCAGTATGCAGACTGCCCTGGGGAGAGAAGACACCCCCAGCCCTCTCTTATCACAGCATTTTGAGATCAGGTGAGAAGCATCTCTCCATGGCTGCTGCAGCTCCAGTGGGCATAGCTGGGGGAGGGGTGCATATCCCCGGCTGCGGGTCTGGTTTGTCTGCCCCCTGCACTCCCCAGCCAGAATGAGGAATGCAGCAAAGTGTGCATTTCCCCCTTGCTCCCTGACAAAGGGAAACAGCCCAAATGAATCAGGGGGACCCTCCCTAAAGGGCACCTGGGGAGTGGGAGGAGGCAGTCCTGGACGAGGGGGTGTATCCCCAGCCAGCCCTTTCACCTGCCTGGTGATCCTGTCAATGAGGATTATGGAATGAGGAGTAACTGTAGTTCGGACTACGAAGCCTAGTCCGAACTACCTAGTCCGTGCCGCGTGTAGCCGCACGGCACAGGGTTCGAACGAGCCGGGATTTAAAAATGGCGGCGCCCGGCTTATGCAAATGAAGCCCGGGAAATTCAAATCCCGGGCTTCATTTGCAAGTGCGGTATGCCTACATTACCCTCCTAGTTCGAACGAGGAGGGTAGTGTAGACATACCCTTAGGGTATGTCTACACTACAACGTTAATTCGAACTAACTTAGTTCAAATTAGTTAATTCGAACTAAGCTAATTCGAACTAACGGATCCAGACTAAAAAACTAGTTCGAATTAACGTTTTGCTAATTCGAACTAGCATGTCCACATTAAGTGGACCCTGAACCGGGCTTAAGGATGGCCGGAAGCAGTGCTGGCAGGGCATCAGAGAAGAACTTAGAGCGTGGAGATGCTTTCTCAGGCTAGCCGAGGGCTGTGCTTAAAGGGTCCCGAACCCCACCCCAGACAGACAGTTCTCGGGGGTGCCCCGCTTGCAAAGCAGTCCTGGCTTGGCTTGCAGTAGCCCAGGGGGGGGCCCCCCGGCTGCAGCCCT